ATGTTTACAGACAGACGGACAGCTAGACGGACGGACGCATTACTATCGCATAAGCTCTTCTAGTCTCTGACCAGTAGAGCTAAAAATTACTGTTTCCAATAATGCGACCCTACTTGTAGTTCAAAAGATTAATTTTTTTTTTATTTTTGCACAAAAAGATACTACCATATAGGGCCTATAAGATGGTATTACCAAATTGACATGGGTAACTTAAATAAAATGGATATATGCTAATCCGAATATCCTCTATTTTTCTTAAATTTTTAGTATTTATTAGTTATTTTTATATGCTTCCTATACATGTATTTAAATTTTTCCAATTTTCACATATAGTAAAGTTGGCACATAAAGGTACAAAATAATACAAAAACTAATAGTTTTGATCGTTTACTAAGATAACACTTTTTGACTCAAATCTGTACTTGGATTTGAAGCATTTAAAAGCAACCATAGTTCTAGTATGTGTGAAAAATCTTATTTATTTGATATGTTTTGAAACTTTAGTCCCTTATTATTACATGTAGTTGAACTTAAATTTGAAAATTTCGTCTAGTCTTTGATTGCGTAAAAATTATAACTAAATTCAATGTTCTATAATAATTCTGAGAGGCAGCAAAGAAGATATTTTCATACGCCACCATTACGCCAAAATATAGTCCCTGCTAGTTTTCAAACGCAGTTTACCATTTCTATTTCAAGTTGTATAATTGTGATGAGGAAATAAAAATATGGTCTTTTAAACCTCTTACATCTAAATATATTACATATCAACAGATATACTTTAAATATTCCATCTAGTCAGAAACAAGAGAAGAACCCTACTTAAGTTAAATATTTCTTTAATGTTTTGGGAAGATTAGGGATTTTTTATTCTCCATTTTTGGAGGTCCTCCTCTTTACTTAGGAAATTTTGCCACAGGCTTTCTTTATATGCGACTTACGTTTTTTATAGTCTAAATTACATGTGCTACCCAGGGTCCTAAAGTAACTATGTCCAATCAAAGTATTGCTTTTTTATAACGATAAAAAATGAAAATTAATTAAATGTCATTGCAATAAAAACTCTAGCTAGTGGTTATTTTTGCCAACTAGACAGCACACAGAAAGACTTCTGTGTTTCTTTCTTTCCTTGTATTTGTGCTACTTTTTATATATAGAATCAGATGAGCTAATGACCATGTGGAATCGATTTAACATGTAATTATGTAGCACCGAGATGCCATGCCTTAAATACCAAGAGTCCAAGCATATCAAAGCATTGTACTTTAAGTTTGGAATAATTAGAAACAATAATGTCACATTATTCAAAAGTGGTTAATTCTATTCCTTACTAGAAAGATTTCAGTCTGTCTCCACTGCAATTGTCAGCAAAGAATGATCTATTTCGGTATACATGTACCATTTATACTCGCCTGTTATTCGGTTCTGCTTAATACCATGGGCCAAGGGGCCATATCACTCACCTGAGCAATTGGCTAGGAAAAGCACATATCAGATCAGAACTGAAAGTTTACTGGGGGGGTGGGGAAGGGGACTTGAATTTTAACCCCCATGGGGATCATGATTTTAACAAACTAGAATCTACACTACCTGAGGATGATTCCCTATAAATATCACTAAGCATGGCTTTGAAGTACTTGAAAAGAAGATTTTAAAAGGTTTCTCTATATATTCATATGTACAACTTTATCTGCCATTTGGCCCCACCCTATCCCCGGGGATCATGATTTGAACAAATTTGAATCGACACAATCTGGGGATGATTCCACATGAGTTTCATCTTTCCTGTCTCAATGGTTCTTGAGAAGAAGATTTTTCCTATATATTCCTATGTAAAACTTTGATCGGCCATTTTGGCCCCACACTACCCCCGGCCGGCGTCAATGATTTGAACACACTTAAATGTACACTACCTGAGGATGATTCCACATGAGTTTCATCTTTCTTGGCCAAGTGGTTCTTGAGAAGAAGATTTTTAAAGATTTTTCCTTTATATTCCTATGTAAAACTTTGATCGGCCATTTTGGCCCCACCCTATCCCCGGGGGTCATGATTTGAACAAACTTAAATCAAATCTACACTACCTGAGGATGATTCAACATGAAGTACATCTTTCCTGGCCTAGTGGTTCTTGAGAAGAAGATTTTTTTTAAAAATGCCATTATTTTTTCTCTTATTCATGATTATCTCTCCTTGGAAAAAGGCATGGCCCTTTATTTGAACAAACTTGAATCCTCTTTACCCCAGGATACTTTGTAGCAAGTTTGGTTGAAATTGGCCCAGTGGTTCTTGAGAAGAAGATGAAAATGTGAAAAGTTTACAACAACAACGACAGACAACGGACAAATTTTGATCAGAAAAACTCACTTGAGCCTTTGGTTCAGGTGAGCTAATAAGTCTGAAATTTAGACAGTTTTTTTTACTCACGGCTGATGTTAGATAGCGGACATGTCCCTAACAACAAATACTATAGAAAACTACATAGTTTACTATATTTTAATATAATCAACTAGGGAAGCAATGTAAAAACTTTGGAACTTTGATTTGAGAAAGTGAAAACTTTGGAACGTCCTTAACCACTGTCAAAATGTACGATCCTCTCCCCATCTGGCCGTAGTTGCATGAGACGAGAATATTTTGTAGCTCATTAAAGTATTAACCAATGCAAGTAAAGCATAGTCGGACCTTTCATGCGACCTTTCAATACCCATTCGCAGTGAACGAAATACTTCTGATGAATACTAGTATTAATAGAGAGTGTCTCTCTTGTACCGAACTATATTCGTTTAAATCTATTTCATTTTAATATTACATGTAGTCAGATGTAAACCTAGTCTTATATATCGAAAGAAAAAAAAATATACTACAAATGAAATATTTAGAATTAAAAAAAAACCAGCCTCTTCAACCTCAGTCAATTTGTATATTGTAATTTGATAAATACTAGAATTCAAAATTGGTTCTAAAATAATCATGCAACAGATGATGTATTCAAGTATTACGGCTCACTATTAATGCATAAATGAACCTTTTTCTCAACACAATATATATTATTCTATGTATTACATGTACTTGTATTCTTTGTTATATATTCTTAAACACAAGTTGTCAATATTTATGTCTCTCTCTTTCGGAATTTGTAGAAACGAAGCAATAGTGAAAATCTCGATACGTATATCTGAAACGTTAACAGTGATATGTGTTAAGCTGTATAAAATCTAAAACATATATATATTTCACGTTGACTATTCAAATCATTGTATAAATTAAAAATGAATTTAATTGCTTGTTTGCCTCTGTATTTTCAGTTAAAAATGGTTCTTTTAAAGGATTTGAATATCATTTTATTTATCCCTTTGTTTGTATCTCTTTCTTCCAGCTATCTCTTAAACATCTGGGGTTTAAGACGTTCCCTTGACTCAGTAAAACTTCAATAATTACTATTTATAAAGCACAAGGGCGTATATAAATATTTTGACAAGTGATATCTCATTGTACAGGAAAGGCGGATGTGTGTTTCTCTTAGATATTACAAGCGATTTCTAAATTTTATATCATTAAGGGTTGCAACTGCAACGCTTAATGATACACCAGTGTGTATCATTAAGCGTCGAATATGTCGATATTTGCTTGTTTCATTAAGCGTCGATGTTGCACTACATTTGTGACGCTTAATGATATAAATCTGTCATTAAGCGGCGATTTAGCATTAGCGGTTGATAATGTCAGCTATTAATGCAATAATTTATGGTATTAAGCGTTGCAATTGCAACGCTTAATGCTATTTGTATCATTAAGCGGCGTTTTATCATTAGAGGTTGCCACACGGCACTCAGGGCCTTTGAGCAGTGAGGGATTTTTTTCGTGCCAGCACTTACTGCGACACGGGGCCTCGGTTTATACGGTTTCATCCGAAGGACCGGCTTTTCAGAAGGAAATATTTTAAAATAATATTTAATAGTTTGGAAATAATTTAATCCTGTTTAGATGCTCAATTTCATTTAGTGAAAATTACAAAGCATATTTCATTTTGAAATTAAAGAAGAGAAGATAAATCCCTGACCACTTTAGAAAACAGGAAACTTAAAAATCCTTCTTTTCTTTTCATAATAAAACATTATAAAACAAAATCTGTAAAAAAATAAGCATGATATTCAGATATTAACATACATTCCGTTGGTAGGAATTGCTACTTTATTGTAATGATATTTTTTTTCGTACAGTCTTAAAGGAAAAAAAAAATCTTATCCCATTTTTTTGGTTTGTTCTTTGTTTTGAAAATGTTTCTCCGATCATAATGAATACCAAGAAAATGGTTTACTTATCATACCTAACACTGGACTCATCCTGATGTCAATTATTATTTGGTTCTCTTTATTCAGAGAACCATATACCTAGTCATCGTTACCGCTTTTAGAGCCATTATATAAATATATTAAAATAGGGTAAAATGTCTTTTATTGACTAAAATCTGTTACCATCCCGTCCATGTTCTTTTAAAAAAAATAAAAACTTACGCGTGCTTATCAAAGGCTGAAAATGATGACTTGAGAAATCATCTTTCTTATGCACAAAATCTTAAAGTAAAGCGTATGTTTAAATACTTTAAATCGTACGCGTGCCAAGGGATACATTCATTGATGTATTGATATTATAAACATTTATTGATGTACTGATATTAAAAGAATACATTTTTATACATGTTTTCATAAATACTGTTTACTTCAGATTTTAGATTGATTTTTATTCAGAAAAAAATAGAAATATAGAAATTATGACAGAGGAAGATGCAGTTACAAAATACATTGCATCCTCTCTGGCCGCCACACTGACATCACGCCGTGTTTGTGATTTTATTTACAAGCTGGAAACATTAAGCAATGCCTAATTAACATTTAGGCGCCTATGCCCGATATTTCAAATAAAATTGCTAACATAATATACACTTGATCATTTTTAGTTTATTCGACATTTAGTCTCCACGTTTTTCAACGAAAACAAGGAAATTTTTAAAATTTTTGTATGAAAGTACCAGGCAGTAATAGACAATTGCTGTAAATGCAACTCAGGATGAGACCTATCAGTTTATTTCTACCTTTAGTTATATGTTCTTTTAACTTCGTCTTAAAGAGATGTTTTGCAAACGCTTTTTGTGAGGGGTAAGTACATGTTGGTTTCTTTGATTGATATCAATAAGTAAAAAATACGTATATAGCAATTGTTTTTTTTAAGCGGTTACAAACAAAATCATTAATTTATAAATGCTTATATCGTTTTTTAAAATATTCTTTTTGGTTTTATTTTCAGAAAACCTAATTATTGCTGTGAAGGTTATATGTTCGATTTTCAAAGGGGAAGCTGTAAAAGTATATGCATTTAAAACTCAAATCTTTATTTATCCGACATTGATTTCTATATTTATTGAACTTGAAGATAACTTCTAGATCATATTTTGGAACATATATTTAGACAAAAGTTGAATACAATATGTGTTTACTATTTATTTTTTTTTTTCTTCTGATTTTAGAATGTGATGACGGGTTCTATGGAACAAACTGTTCAATAAAATGCCCTCCTGAAACGTATGGCTGGAATTGTCAAATGCTGTGCAAGTGTGAAAAGCCTTGTCATCATGCATATGGATGTGGTATTTTATTTTATATGAAAGGACTATGAATTTTTCATTAAATGATGTAAAATTCTTTTATATTGTTCTTTATAATTTTTTTTTTCCCAACAGTCTTTGTGAGTGTTGGAAATACTCGTGCAAACAGCGAGACCGTGAAAAGCGTTGATGCATTAAAGAATTCAACGATCCAAAACTCAGTGTTCACAGAGAATTATCCTAGTCCTATTTCAAGATCTACCTTTAATCGGCGCCATTTGGTAGCGAATTCAAAACAAAATTTAAAATCCCATACATCTAAACATATGAAACACGGACTTCTTGCAATCGTAATATCGAATACACTTCTTACCCTACCAGTTACAATCGTGGTCATCATATTTATTTACAGAAAATTCAAGAAAAGAAAATTGAAAATAAATAGAGAAGAGACAAACATGGACAATCACGACCCCTGCTACAATGATTTGAATGAAATAAACACATGTGTTAAAACTTCCGAATATGATTCACTTTCCATTTGCACAGAAGAGGTAAATGCCACTTCTAGAACAAACCTTGCATGCAACGGAGGTGGTCCAGCTCAAAGAAAAGCCCGAGAAAACAGCTACGTTCCTGTAAAAGAGAAGAAAGCTAAAGAAAACGACGAAACAATACATAATAATGATATCTACGCAAAAGTCAAACGAAACCAAACTCCGGCAGATTATATATCTATGGAAAGTAGCATCACTGTTGAAACCATGGATACCAACACTACAATAATTGATCTTCAATCCGTAGATGAATCCCTTTATATTGTGCCCTTACTGCCCACTGTCGATGAACCAGGGATACACATTAAATCTCCGAAAAGCTCAATTTCTATCCCCAGTATTGATATAGAAGAAAGGAAGAATACTGACAGAGAAGGAAACATTTATACAGATCTAATGTAAAGGAATATTACTGTAAATTCAAAGCAAATGACCAGGTTTTATCGATAGACACAGGAGGAGAGAAAGAGGAAAACATGATTCAAAAGTTTTTTTTTTAAAAATCTTTATAAAGATAATGAAATGAATAAGACTAGCATCACAATTTGTTCTTTATGGATTCCAACAAAGCAAATTTTAAATGCAGTCTTCTATGATTTGCTATATCCCTCCATGAGCTCAGTCAACAGGTGTCTCATCTCTATCAATTGTCCCTGCTTTAAAACTAAAGGAACCCGTGCTTGTACATTGTTTGGGTCGTTCAATTATTGTCACCGTCGGCCTTTTTTTGCTAGTGAAATATTTAAAACCGACTTTTTCTCATGTCTGTCAATTATTTCACCACTCCTTTTGTGGGGAATCGCAAAAGGACAAACCGTTTCTTTTTTTAAAAGGAACTTGTGTAAAAATAATTTACCTTAGGTTACTTATTACATTTTACCTTTCATTTTTGTTATTTCAGTATTAAATTTGAACATTTTTATTATTTTTTTTACAAAACACAATCTTTTTTTTTAAGAAAAGTTGTATTTATGTGAATGTACATTTTATAAGCAATTTTGATATTTAAAGATGGGAAAATTTTAATCAGGTGGTAATTTTATTAACTTAAGTTGAACACTTAGCGCTTATTTTTTCCGTAAAGATAACACTTTTAGTTATATTTTTAAAATCTAAGATGCATTCTTCTACGTATAATAATACCTTTGTGTAAGTAAGTTCAATCTGATTCAGCGCGAAGCGTTTGTTAAAGAGCACACTATTACTTTCTGAGTTATGAAACTAAACGCTCCTGTCAAACAATAGTCAACATTGCTTGACAAGAGTGGTTTTGGGGCTCAGCTATGTTAAGGACCGATATGGAAAATGTTACCTTTGTACCGTTTTAATATGTATTGCTTCTTTTAAAAAAAATTTAACAAATCAACTGAATACTTGTACAAAAGGTAATATAGCTATCAATAATGGATAGGACTGGGCCGTAGTTATTACCAGTTATATCGCACGTATCAGCTGTTTGTCACGTGACTTGTATAAAAATAGAATTGTTAAGCTGAATGTAGGAAATGTGGATAGTGCAAGGGCATACGCTTGTTTTTCAAGAAAATAATTGATACACATTAAAAGAGGTTTATATCCTCTACCCAAAAAGTGCTGGGAGCTGGTCAGTGCTGTTTGCGAAGTACTTAAAATTTTGCCGAAAATGCTTATAATAGCTAAAAATTTCCACTTCGCTTAAATTCTGTTATAAATAAAATTAATGTTATGCAGACCAGGATCAGCTCCCAGCACTTTTCAAAATATACACTATATGAGCAATAGATATGCCAAATTTCAGCTCAAACAAAATAGTCTATGCCCTTGCACTTTTGATGTATATCACGAATACGCTCATCGTTTTAGCGATATTCTCTATATTCCTTATCCCTGTGCAGCTTCAATGCTACTAGATAAATTCATATTCTATACACATTGTATTTAATAAATTATTTTCTTTTAGTTTTAATGATTAGGTTTAAAAATTAACAATGATATCATATTTATTTAAGCATTCTTGTAATTAATAAACCAGTGAATTTACTCCTCCGGATCACTTGTGCTGCGTCATGTCAAGGCTGATGACGTCATATTTGACAAAAGGCTTTCTTCTCTTACTCGACTGTATCGCTATCAAGTATTGCAATTTTACAAGATTTTATGAATAATCGATAAAATAGATAAATTCAAGTTGTTATTTACGCATAATCATGTCGTTAATTAATTTTTGTAGCTTGTTAGATTTCAATGACGTCACAATTAAACTTCCAATACGATGTACAAGGAATGTGAACTCTGACCTTCCTTAACATAGCCGAGGGGTTGAAAACTTCCATTTTTATCCTTAACTAAATGCAAATTTATATAATTGTTTTTACGAAGCAGATCTAAAAAGAACAACCACAACTTCGGTTCAAGCAGAGTCATTGCATACTCATTAAATCAATTTGTAATTTTTATTAAAAATATTCTGAATGCTTCCTTATTACCCATGCGAATTTAATGGATACACTTTCTTTAAGTTTATTATGTAAACAACTCCATTACCGTAAAAAAAGACAATTTATTTCCTGTTTAACCAATCTCTCACAAGAGGGCGCGCTCCGCTAACACCTCTGTTGTCGTCTAAAAAGTAGCGCGGGTTGTCAAATAATTATTTGTCGACAAAAATTGTATAAACATTGATTGTTTTGTATGATTTCTCAATGATGTTACATGTTTTAAGCTCTCTGGTAGGAAATATTTCCTGATTTTGTCTCCTTGGTTTCAAAATGAAAATATGTGTAAAAAATTAAGAGCAAAATAGTGCCGTATATATTGAAGCCATTTTGATATATCCAAATTTTGAAAGAACAAAAGAAGTGCTACAGATTGATATTTCTAATTTCATTTCAAAAAATTACCAAGTTGGTGGAAATCTATAATTTATTTTCGTTTTACAAGATTCTTGTAATTTAGACGATAACAGAGGTGTTGGAGCGATGAGCGTAAAACGCCTTCTGGTGAAAGATTGCCTGTTTTTATACCACATAGAAGAAAAAAACCAAATTCAGTGGACCTTCAGATATTTGGACAACAGATATGCTTCAGTATCCGGACGTTTTTTCATTGGAACAGAATTTTTAAAAGTTGTTTTTTCTTGTTTAACTGGTGATTCAGAATTCCGGATGCTTCACATATCCGGACAATGTGACTGGGAACCAAAGTGTCCGGATAAACAAGGCTCCACTGTACTCTGGACTTTTACAACAATTGATACAAAAGTTTCAAATAGAAGGATAGTTATAAATGCAACATGTTTTTCTATATTAATTACCGTAATCGATACTTTTAATTCTACAAAAATTATCTTATATGTACATAAATAAGAAATGATTTCTTATTCTCCCAGTGGAGAATTAATGAATAACACTTCCCTATTACATAAGAAAAAATACGAAAAAAAGTAACTTATTATCAATATTCGTCTAAATTGAGTTATAGATTACAGTAAAATGAGTTATATCTATTTTAAATAAATACCATACTATCTTCTCTTTCTTTAATTTTTTAAACCTTTGTACAGAAGGGTCAATTTTACTTTATAATTATTTCAAATACAATGATAGCATCTGCACATATGTCTATTTTCGAGATTCATGTTGCATTCATGAATAACCGTGAAATAGCTAAAATGGAGAAACAGAATGTGTTATAAAAACAGCTGGATAATGTCCTGTATGTTTTTCATCAACGTAACAAACTTCCTGAAACAAATTAATGATATATGGGTTGGGGAACTGAACTCTTTCTCAGAGAGGAACATCTAGAATACTATTTTGATACCATATACATGTAGGGAAGTACAAAGAAAAATGAGGTGATTTACTCGCCGCTTTAGTTGTGAAAGACGGAGAAATGAAGTACAATTCATAGAGCAAGATTTAATGCTTGTTCGGAAAAACATATATAAGATGAAAAAAGTACCAAATTTTTTATTATTAATCAACTTTAGCACATACACGCACACAGTCGGGGGATTAACAAATACACATTCTTTTCTGAGAAAGGAGATTTAGATAAAAAAAAATAAAAACTTAATTATATATAACCTTATCTAAATCAGAGATACACTATGGAGTCATAGTAGACGAGATGACGTCAATTTTTGAACACGAGTTTCCGTGATATTGTTATTTACTTGTCTGATTATAAATTATATTCTTCTAAAACGTTTTTTTAATACGTCGCAATTCTAAAAGCATAAATGACGTTTTTCTTTCATCTTTCTATTCATAACTTGTTTATTTGTTAATGCATAGAAGAAATAATGAGAGTATATTCTGTTAGTGTTTAACCACTGCACATAATATGTACCAACCAATTAATATCAAGTCATCAATACAAAAACAATTTAGAGAGTTGTCTCTATTATGAATAAAAATTTGTGAAAGCAATTATGGAAACATTGTATTAGTTCACAAACAGGGAAACATTGACCAAAAGTTTGGTTAAGTATGTTGTGCAAAGTTTTGTTTTATAAATTAGGAAAACAACAATTAAATGCAAACTTTTAAAAATAAATAAAACAAAAAAAAAAGTCAACGGGATTTAACGGTCATTTGAGAGCTCCATAAAGGATACATAGCTGTGAAATTAAAACAAAAGCCAAAATGAAACGTGGAGATCTGCTTCTAGAATTACAGTGACATTTGAAGATTAATTAAAAGGATCTTTAAATTTTTTATCCAGTTATCAGTTACAATTAAACATAAGAGGGGTGTTCAAAATTATTATTCAATTATCTTAATTATGTCAATTATGTATTAACGCCTTGAGTAACTCTTCATTATAATTGTTCTTTCATTATTGTTATAAATTGTTTGTTTTGTGCACGATCTTCAGTTGGAAACTGGACCTTGCACTGTCCACGCCGACATACTGATCGAGTAGAAAACGCCTAGTTTGGACCGTTAATAAATTATAAAACGAAGTACCGACTTGTGTATTTCTACCGGTTATATTTGCCGCTGTCTATAAGCAACTAAAGACCAGCATTAATGTATGCAATTTGATTGGAGTGTAAAAATCTGAATTGGTCTCCGGATTAAGAGATGCATTTCCTTAAAACCAAAAAATAAAACCACAATCTAAGTTTAAGTGCGAAGAAATGTATGTTTCGGCACCAACAAGGTCATTATTCGGTAAATTCATGCATATGTCTGTACAACATAACACTCTGATAGCCACAAGCAGCATCCAATAGAAGCAAATGTATGTAATAAAAACTGTTTAGGAATACTCTCCCACTTCAAATGTAGAACTTTGATCTGCTGTTGCAGAATCTAGGGATGCGATTGTCTTTGGCAAATCATGTCAAACCATTTTGTCCAATGCTGCTTAATTTGGATTAAATCTAGCGATTTAGATGACTGTGGCAGAAACAGGTTGATGTGTAATGTGGTTCTAGCTCTAGCTAGGATGCGGCAAAATTGAATAGTTCTAGGCATGTGTAGGCAGAATATGGTTAGAGTACTTTTTTCCATTAAAGTCCATTGAATTGAAACCAAATCAATCTTACTTTCTTATAAAACCGTTTTCCGTATCATAACACTACCACCAGCAATTTTTGTAACGTTCTGGAGGCAGTTATTTGTCTAACATTCATTACAAAGCATTATCACTCTTAACCTTATAAGAGGCTTTCGGATAAACATTCTGGACTAGTAGCTAAACCAAAATGTTCAGCAGTGGTGCTGTTGTCATATTCTATTAATATGAGATCTTTGAAGTCGATATTTGGGATGTTGTTGGGTCAGAACAATGACGTGAATAATCCTCTTGCTAATGCTTTAGATCACGTCATTGCACTACATTCATGCAATTTACCTAATCTTCTGAAATGATGCTGTGCTGCTGATGTCACTCTAAGTCTGCCATATTTTTTGAAAAATATGGGTGTCCGATGTTATTGGTTTATGTTATCAAGGTTAAACGTAATGCTTCTAGTCCCCTTTTTTCCTTTTTGTGCTATGCAACATTTTTAGGAAGATTCATTTTTCAGATAAAACCAGAGTCAAAATATCGAGAACCCCCGCTTTTGATAACCCCTTTGTACCTATAGGAATTGCAACAGAATTCAACAAATGAAAATTGAGATTAAAATTTTTGGGGAAATTTTACAAAATCAGGTCTTTTTGTCTGAGACTTGTAGAATAGCTCAAAAGTTTACAATTGCAATAAAAATCACGCATTTTACTCGAATACGTACATCATATTCATATAAAAATAAAAGATATGACAAAACTATCATACATTGTTCAGGGCATTGTTCCTACTATGCGTTTTTTTAAGAGTATATTATTGGTTTATCAGAGAAGGCATGAATAAAAATACCATTCGTAGATGTTTGGCATCCTTCGACAACATCACAGTTGTTTTTGCTACAATTACAATTTCTTTCGCATCTCTTCCCGAAATATGGAAACAAGCTAGGCGTTGTACAATTGATACCAAAAACGCCAGGCGGACATTCTTAAATTAAAAAAAAAAATAGCACAATCAATTTAGTGAATTCTATATCACTTTTCTTAACTTAGATCATATCAGAAGAATATAAACTGTTAATTGAAATGTAATACTGTTAAATCACTAATTTTTGTGGGGGTTTAATTTTCGTTGTTTTTGTGGTATGAAGAGACCCACGAATTCATGTCCACCACGAAATGTAAATGTTCATATGCACAACTACTAAAAAGTTCTTCATCCACGAAATAAAATCCCCACGAACCAACGTTTTTTCCTTCAACCACGAAAATTTGACCCCACGAAAATATGTGATTTTACAGTAATTGCAATTAATACCGTATAGTTGGATATTTAAGCGGGGTGCTTGTTTTTGGCGTTTTAAATGAAGCCTGCTAAAAATTTTATCGCTAAATCATTTAGAACTTTTTCTTAGTGATCATATCCAAAGAGCTGAAACTCTATGTCTACTAAAAAAACATTATGCCTAAAATATATGGCGCACCTTCAAGCACGCAAAACGCCAAATTTTAGACCCGGCAAGAAAAGCCGCTATGTGGTATTGTGTAATAAATTTTACCTATAGAATTTACCTATGCACATATCTTTGCTCTGATCCCATCTTGAATCGGGGCAACACCCTTTGTAGAGTCTTAAATAAACGTTTAAAAGTAAACACTGTGTATATCATTAATGATTATTGCTAAAAATATTATACAAGGTACAAGGTATTTTCAAACTACAAGTACGTGATGTACAGAAATCTAAAATAAAATTAAATATACCTTGCTTCGATTGAAGTGAAGTGTGTGCAAGTTGAGAGAAAGGGATAATTACCCTTTGGTGTAATAAATACAACCAGAGGATATTTCTCACTATATACTCACAGTCAATAAAATTGTATACTTACGCTGGTGATATTACAAAAAATATAAACCAAGAAAATGTTTTAGTATAAACAAGTGAAATGGACTTATAAATGATTATCCAAAATATTTTAAATTGCCTTGAAATCCTGACAAAGGAACGACACTTCCTCTACACTAGGATGTCTTTACATAAACAATAAAAATGTCAAATTGAGTATTTACAGGTCCTACAAATATTCTCTAAATATAGGGAATGGTCACTATTCCATGGCACCCGATCTCACCTCTAAAGTCCGAGTTTGCTCTTTTTTTGTTTTCTGTAGTTTAATGGATTTTTTAGCTTGAGTACTGCTCGTTACCTCCATATATTTCATGTACATGAATGGATTTATTTCGCTGATATACAAGTCTGATAGTGGTACACTGAAACACCATATGGTGCTACAAAGGAAACTGCGTATGCACATTCAGAATCAAAGAACATCCTGAGGCTTTTCACACACAATGGTATCAAATTATATACAGATCCGGAAGCTAAAACTTTCTGTAAGTAACAGCAATAGATATTAAGCTAACGTTTAATTTTATACGGATGCACTTACCCAGGACATGGGCCGTCTCCATAAGCACTCGGGCTAATATAAAATAATATAATGAAATAATACATTCCCTTTAAAAAACACTACTCCTAAGATACCTAGCATACATGTAATATAGAATCAGCAGATGTCTCTATTATGAATTGTATTTATTTCCTTATTGCAAATAACCGTTCATCTATGCCAATTTATTACTAATTTATCACAGGCTGAAATATGATGACTTGAAAATGCATCTATTCTATGCATAAAATCTTAAAATAAAGAAAATGTAAAAATACTTGAAATGATGTCATTGGACATCTTTATTGATATTAGAAGAATACATTTTATATAGGTGAAAATTCTGTTTATTTTGGCTCTAAATTGATTTTTATTCAGAAAAAAATATAGAAATTATAACAAATGAGCATGCAGCAACTAAAGACAATACTTCCTCTCTGTCCCCAGCACTGACATCACGTCGTATCTGATTCTATTTACAACCTAGAAACATACAGCAATGCCTTATTTACATCAAGGCGCCTATGCCCCATATTTCAAATAAAATTGCTAACATGACATACACTTGATCATTTTCACTTTATTCGTCATTTAGTCTCCACCTTTTTTAAACGAAAACAAGGAAATTTTAAAATTTTTGTTTGAAGTATCAGTCAGCAATAGACAATAGCTGTAAATGCAACTCAGGATGATGCCAATCAGTTTATTTCTACCTATAGTTATATGTTCTTCAAACTTTGTTTTAAAGGGAAGTTCTGCAAACAATACTTGTGAGGGGTAAGTAAATGCAAGATTTTTCGATTGTCATCAATAAGTAAAAAACAATATTTTTGATAACAATTAATTTAAATGGAAACTAGGTCACTAATTGATATATGCTTATACCGTTTTTTAATCATTCTTTTTTATTTCTTATTCAGAAAACCTTACAATTGCTGCGATGGTTACATGTTCGATTTTCAAACGAAAATCTGTAAAAGTATGTGCACTTAAAACTAATACATTTTTTTCAGATCCGACATTGATCAAAATCTTAATTGAACTTAAAAGATAATTTATTGATCATATTTTGAAACATATGTATGTAGATAAAAAGTTTAATACAATACTTGTCTGTATTATTTGTTTTAATCTGTTGTTTTTTTTATGTAGAATGTGACGACGGATTCTATGGACAAAACTGTTCAACGATATGCCCATTTGGATTGTATGGCTGGAATTGTCAAATGACGTGCAAGTGCAAACAGTCCTGTCATCATGTATATGGATGTGGTATATAGTTTACAAAGTATATGTATATTCAATGATCGAAAAACCGTTCTGTGACATGGTCTGTACAAATATATGAATATTTTCCTTTTCTATCTTCAACAGATTTGGTAAGTGGGTTAAATACCCAAACAATCAAGACCGAGAAAAGCATCTATGCCTCAGAAAAATCAACGATAAAATCCATTGTGTTTGATACGGATAATCCAAGTCCTACATCAAGATCTACCTCTAATCGGCTCCATTGGGAAGCAAACTTGCGACCAAGTTTCAATCCCAAAACAACTAATCATATGAGCCACGGACTTCTTGCAATCGTAATATCGAATACACTTCTTACTCTACCAGTAACAACCGTGGTAATTATACTCATTTGCAGAAAATTCAAGAAGAAGAAACTGATAATAAAAAATGAAGAAGAGACAAATTTGCAAAATGATGATCCCTGTTACAATGACTTGAATGAAATAAACACATGTGTCAAAACTTCCGAATATGATTCACTTTCCATTTGCACAGAAGAGGTTGATGCCACTTCTAGAACAAACCTTGCATGCAGCAGAGATGGTCCAGCTCAACGAAAAGCCCGAGAAAACAGTTATGTTCCGGTCAAAGAGAAAAAGGCTAAAGAAAACGACGAAACAATACATAATAATGACATCTACGCAAAAGTCAAACGAAACCAAACTCCGGCGGATTATATATCCATGGACAGTAGCATTACTGTCGAAACCATGGATACCAACACTACGATAATTGACCTTCAATCGGTAGATGAGTCCCTTTACATTGTCCCCTTATTGCCCACAGCCGATGAACCAGGAATACACATTAAATCTGTGAAAAGCTCAATTACCAACTCCAGTATTGAAGCAGACGGAGGGAAGAATGACGAGAGAGAAGGCAACATTTATACAGATCTAATGTAAAGGAATATGGCTCTGAATTCTAAAATCAAAGAGGGTTTTTTTATCGACTGAAAGGTGAATAAAAAAGGAACAGATAGAGAGAGGAGAAAGAAATGCTGATACAAAATTAAAAAAAAAATGTTTGGTTGATCATAAAATGTATAAGATTTACAATGAAGACTATCTCTCACATATTTGCAATAAGTTAATTGTTACGATAAGACTACAATTCCATTTCACCCTCTGTGTTGTCAGTGGACACACAACCTCTCCTTTAGCACATGATCTTTCATGATAGCACATTAGAACTTGAAGAAACCCGTGCTTTTGGTTGTTATGGTCAATGATCATTCATTTTCTTTTGTCAGTGAAAGTTTCAAATATGAATTTAATTAAAAAATAAATTTAATTTTTGAAGATTCATGGGGTTATGAACTACGACGCTTCATGCCGGAATATTTCATGAAGCGCGTTAGCCCTTTATGATAAATATGCCGGCATGAAGCGTTGCAGTTCATATACCTCATGAATCTTCAAAAAATTAAATTCATTTCTTATATTTACATTACTTTTTCTATGTCTTGCTATAGATTTACGCCGTTCAACTGTCATTTAAAAAACAAAACAGCGTGCACTTTATTTTTTGAATATTTAGACGTCAAGAGCGGTATCATGACGTAACAATGGAGATATTCATGCTTATTTGTGATACATACCTAATGTAGTTCATGAGAAAATATACTGCATTTTATTTTGTAAAGAATCATAGGGGGAATTTTTTGGAATTGTTAATATTTATTTTTGTTTACATCATGTTTCCCACACACTCTTCCTTCGGAATCACAAGAGAAGGAAACATATGGAAAGGCTAAAATGTGGGACTATATCAGTGAATCTATTTTTACAAATAACTTTATTGCACATTTTACTCCTTTTTGTTTCACAGTAAAGAATTTTTTTAACATTTTCAATTTCTCTTCGTTACAATTTTTTTTATCCCTTTTTAATACATTCTACTTCAAAAGTTATGTACATGAAAATTTCCTATGTATAGAAATACATTTCCTATATGTCAAGCAAAAATGGTCAAACATTAATAATAAGGCAATTTTATTTACTTTAGAGGAACAATTACACAACAAAATTTTCTACGAGGAAAATACTAGTAGGTGTATTTTCTAATCCATGATGCATTATTCAAATATTAATTCTCCTAAGTAGATATTAAAATAATCACCAAAGTCAACATTGTCCTTTTTTAGGCAGAGAGACGTCATAATGATCGATTCAGTCTCAGTGTTTTAAAGTTAAACTTCTTTAAAAATGTCGTTGTAAGTGAAATAATCCCTCTCAAAAACCTGTCTCTTTATTTATTTGTGTGAGCGGTTGTGCAATAAGTAAGGGCATGTGCGTATAAGTGAGTTAAATGTTTTTCTCATATTTAGTTGCAAGTAAGTTATTATACGTTAGCATTTTTCAAATATAGGTATATGTACATTAACACTCTCAATTAACTCTAACTTTCCCCCTTTTAACTACATAGCGGCGAGTACATGTAAATGTTTGGTTAATTTAAAGGGACTTTTTATATTTTCCTTAATGATATCAAAATATTATGTTTCAAAATGTTCCTTTATAAGGTGGTTTTCGTTTCATTTTCCTAAATAATACATAACTATTATGCTTTAAGGAAGTTTTTCTACGTTTATATAAAACTAAGAGGACATAGGTCAGCTGTTGCATTGTTCATATCCGTTTATTTCATATTCAGCTCTTTCACGCTTACAATTGTTATTTGATCTAAAAAAAATGTAGAGATATACGTGTAGATAGTTTTTTTTTATTTTACCGTTTATCATCATATTGCACAAATGTCCCTTCTCTTCAATAACTAATATTAAAATCATTATTATAACATTCTCGAATACATATCAAGGTTCTATCAAATAAAATTCATGTCTAATCATTCAATATTTTTGGCTTACCCTTAATAGCTTTAACTATTTCTGCATTAATCTTTTTTTAAAAATCTTTCAATTATTTTTGATGATTTAACTAATAAAGGTGGATAATCTTTTGATATGGGTATTACAGATGAAAGTCAACCAAGATAACTAAGAGAGAAGGACATGGAGATAACAAACAGTATTCGATCTCAAAGTCCATAAAACAATACAAAATAGGAACAGAGCAACACGAACCTCCAAAACATCAGAGGTGGGATCAGGTGCCATCAAATGCTAAGAGATGCTTTTCATGTAAACCGAACAAAGATATTTCACCCATACAAAACATTTCTGATAGCGGCGAAGAAAATATAGCTTTCTTAGACGACGTCTATGTGTTGAACAAGTATTTTTCTTCTATATCCAGCGTTGATGACCTTAAAAAAACAATTACAGCAACAGTGTTTCCTATGCAATGACAAGTGATATATCAATTACTGAGCAAGAAATTGTCGATATAATATCAATATCCCTGTTAATAAAGCAATAGGTCCTGATTGAATACGCCACAAGATGTTAAAATCTACTTTTAATTTTGTGTCTAAACCGCTGTGTTGGTTATTTAATAAGTCACTGGCAGAAAATATATTCCCAGACAAATGGAAAATCGCTCATGTATTACCGTTGTTTAAAAAAGATGATCCTTCAGTAGCTACTAATTATAGACCGGTATCATTGTTGAGCTGTGTTAGTAAAATTATGAAACGAATTGTTTTTAAACATGTGTACAATTACTTTCATCAGAAAAAAAAATATTATACAAATTTCAAGCAGGTTTTTGCCACGTCACTAAACTGTTTACTAATTACTTGAAACTTATCACACTATAATTAAGAATATCGACGAAGGAAAAATGTGTTACATGGTATTTTGTGATCTGTCTAAAGCGTTCGACAGAGTGTGGCATAAGAGTTTACTTTTTAAATTAAAAACATATGGTTTCTGTGTAAAAATTTTACGTGGATAGAGAGTTACCTATGTAAAAGAAGACAGAAAGCTGTGTATAAAAGATATTTTTTCGTCTAATAGAAACATTAACGCTGGTGTACCACAAGGATCTATTCTTGGTCCTTTCCTTTTTTTGAATTATGTGAATGATGTATCAGAAAACGTGATTTTATTGTGTAGATTGTTTGCAGATGACAACCCGTTGCAAAGTTTCTCTTAAATATTGCAACTATTGAATATACTTGAAATCGTGATTTAGATATTCTGGATAAGTGGTCTTCCAAATGTCTAATGAAATTTAACCCAACCAAAACAAAAGCATTGTTCTTTACACTAAAATCCAATTATTATCTCCCCAAATTACAATTTCAACGATGTAATCTAGAATATATAACCTCTCATAAGCATTTAAGATTAATTTTGAGCCAAAATCTTAATTGGTCTGATACTATAGACAATTTAGTTAAACAAGCTTACCAAAGATTAGGTCTGTTAAAAAAAAAGCTGAAATAGAATATCGGTAGAAAAACTTTATTTAAAATGTACTTAATTTTTATTAGACTGCTGCTTGAATATTGTTCTATAATAATTGTTTGAGATGGGTGTTCTTTACAAGATGTTGAACGATTGGAAAAGGTGCAGCTTTATGTTGCAAGAATAATTACAGGGTTACCAATCATCGCTTCAAGAGATGAATTATATTTAGAAACAAGATGGGTACCTCTTGCAGATAGGCAAAAAGTAGCAAAACTAAATAGTATACATATAAAGTACATCACAACTTAGTATCCTATTATTTAAGAAAGTAATGAATCAAAGGACGACTCACGCAATAGAAAGGACTACACTATTCCTCGATGTAGACTTAAAATATTTAAGAAATCTTTTGTTCCTGATACAATAAAACAATGTAATAGTCTGAGTATCACTTCTAGAAACAGCATACCCTTTAGTAGCTTTAAAAACAACATACATAAACACACGCAGACCTCCCCCCTTCTTATTTCTCCCATGGTAATAGACATAACAGAGGTAACAAAATAAACACGATTCACAAATTCTAACTCTGTCTACAGACGTATAAGGGGAGTGTTACACAAATTTTTTGCTATTGTTTGAATATGTGTATATCGAACATGCAAAAGGAATAGGGATATTTAAATTTCAAATGGTCAACATCATAACAGCATATTCGAGCTTAAAAAACAATCCTTACACTTGAATTAAACAACAAGTCCCCATAATAAATTTACATGCCACGCAATAATTATGACACTCTCCCCGTCATGTCAGCTCTTTTTCAGCTCAAGTATGCAGTGACTTGACGTCATATTTTATTATAGCGTCATATCTAGGTAGTTCAGAAGAGTTACTACAGTTAGAACAGTTTTATATTTTACGGGCTGCCTAATCCTAGCTGTGCAGTTTAACAAACATGTTCAAACATCAATATTTCTTCTTCCTTTTTTCCCTATATATATATATATATATATTGACAGATGTAAAGTGAGAACCTAATAAGTTGTAAGAATTTGTGTTCAAACCATTTGTATAGTATTTATACAATAAAATATGTTCAAAGGTAATTTGAAGACCTTATATTTTTGTGTGACGTTATAGTAAACATTTCCCGTATAAATTGGGCCTTATTCCCTTACTGTAACCATAACTGTTCTGCATTCCTTTTGCAAAGAACAGGTTTACATTCAACCCTAACAACAACCCTTGCCTGCCTTGAAGAGGGTCAAATTTAAAGAAACGCCAGCAAAAAAGCAATGTTTCTGTAGAGAAAAAAAAATAAGAAAACAACGAAACAATACATAATAACGACATATGCGGAAAAGTCATTATTGTACAGGTCTCATATCAGGAGAGGTTATCGTTATGATGAACTAACTGAGATCTTCTCTCGGAATGATCTTTCGATATTCTACTGCAAGAGAGAGAGAGAGAGAGAGAGAGAGAGAGAGAGAGAGAGAGAGAGAGAGAGAGAGAGAGAGAGAGAGAGAGAGAGACTAATCTTCACTTTTAAACTTATAATTTGTGTTCAAACATATGGAGAAATTCTCATACATGTAATATCAATTCATAGAGCTTTAAAAGAATATGAAATTTGTCACGATTATTCCTCACGTAAGAGTAGCAAAAATCCCCAAATATAATGAATGGCAACAGTTTCTAGATTTTTATGTGTTTTTATTGTAACATATGGAGGTAAAGAACCGTATTTTATTTCAAAAGTCCATTAAACAATACAGAACAGGTGCAGAACAAACAAGGCCCTTTAACACTGTTTAAAACATTAGAGTTGGGAAAAGTCGCCATGAAAAAGTGAGCAACCCCTGCCGATAGGTCACACCCACTGTGTGCTCCTTGTCATGATCAGAAAAAAGCGGGAAAATCCTTCAATGGACTAACAATTAGTATGAAAAACGTCAGTCATCATATGACACAATGATAAATTGTAGTTGCTGACAAGGTCATTGTTCTAATCTTAGATTCAACTCTCTTTTTTCCTTGTTCTTTGATCTACCCTCGTATCTCTTTATCAACTCTTGACAGTAATTAATCAATATTTTCATCAAAATAATATGACATGAAATTTCAATTAAAACATTTTATTTGATAAATATACGAGGGTTGTTTCTTTCTAATTAAGATGTTTCGATGAACGTTTGCATATACGTTTAACAAGCATTAATAATTCAAAAAGAACAAGAAATGTTTTACATATATTAAATTTTCTCCTAAATCGTACATAAATGTCAGTGGAAGTGGTACCTGGAGCAGTCACGAAATCAGATATTGAAAAAATCTAACATTGACGTTGAAAAAAGTCACGTGACAGGGTGAAGGAAAGACGTGACCTTCCTCGCTCCGTCTTTTTGACAATTTTTTTGCTGTTTTCA